GGGAGAGGGGGGGGGGGGGGGTGTGGGAGGTGAGTATTAAAAACAATGCACAGAAAAGCAGAGAAGATACCACAGACACTAGTGCAATGGATAGACACCTCTGCAGCCTGTGTGTGTCTATATGTATGTATACATATTTATTGCCAGTCGCTGAATTTGTAGTGGCATAAGATATACGCGCACATACTTTCTCGGTCGGGTGTATTATTCGAGATCACACAATTAAGTGCAAGAGCCGTGATTATCTACATGCAGACTTTCGTTTGTTTGTTTATCTCCCATCCATAAGGGAAAATACAACAATTAAAGAATAAAGTCGCTAATAAAGGGAGTCTTGCTCAGTGTTCTTTCTTAAGCAAAACTCTGATGTAGTTCAGTCAAAACGTAACCGGAGTTCAGTGGGAGTTTTGCTTGAGTGAATACTGAATACATGGTGATTGAGACCTCATATTAACACAAGTGGTGAGGGGGTGTGTACCTGAATCATAATTTCTGACATAAATCTTAATAATCATCAGAAGAAGTTATAAAGAGCAAAATGACGTCCCGGTTAAACTATTTTTTTTTTTCAAGTATCAGATTAAAAAAAATGTCACTCCCCCAAACAGTAGTTTTGTGCCATTTAAGTCAAATTATATTTTTGTTCAGTTTCTTTTAAACCCTTTAGTAAGAATACATTCCACATAACGGGTGATATTTTACTGTAACAAAAGAAAGATACCTAAAATGTGTCAAAAATTGATTGGCCAAATATCGCGTTGAGAATTCGAGTTACTGTTTATTATGCTTCAAACATGTTTGCGAAGGCAGTCTTAAAGTCGTAATTGGATGTTTCTTGATGAGCAGATTTCTTCTCCTACGATCTACGCGAGCAAAGTTAATCACCTCAAATATCAACTAAGAATATAACAATAGCTCCTTAATTCCATAAAGACCGCCCGTCCCCCATAAACACTCTAAATTAAGAAACGCTAAAGAAACGACGCTAAGACACCGCACCATTCTAGAAATGTGCATGTTTAAAAAATCCTCAAAGCTTAGCTTGAGGATTTGACATAAACCACGGCGGAAACAAGTATCAGATAACAGAAATACTGTATGCTAAACCCCCACCCCCCCCCCCCCCCCCCCAAAAAAAAAAGCAATCAAACCACAAAACACCCATCACCACCAAAAAAAACCCAACCCCCCCAACAATAAAGCAACAACAAAAAGAAAAACAAACAAACCACCGCCTCGAATTCAGTGCCGAACCAGCCTGTCTGTGCAAAGATCAGCCTCAGCGAACAAAAGGGTTTCTCTGGCTGAGGAGCAGGCAGAGGTAAAGACATATTTGGGGCCTTAGCAGTCCTAATACAATCTGTGACAACTTTAGCCATTTATTGGTATTATTTTATTTTGGTTTTGGGTTGGATTTATCTTTTTCCTTTACAAAAATAATCTGATCCCTGGTAACATGCATATGGAAAGGTGAATAAATTACCAGCCCAGCAACTACCCCTGCGCCTGGTGCAAGAGATAGAGGGAAAAGTCTGTGGCACCTGAACTCCTTAGGCAATAATTTGCAACACCGAGCCTGAATGAGAGCTCTGGGAGCGAGTGCTGGCTTAAACTAAGTCTGGAGAGACATACATCAAGGCTACCCTTTTCAGGAATTATTATGCATCACGCTTATCTAATTAATGCTTATTAGCCAACCTCAAACTCTGACATGGCGAGATTGTGCTTTCCTCCAACCTGATCTGTCTCTTTCCTCCTTTCGGTACACTGACAGAAGATTTTTTTTTTTATTATTTTTTTTTTACATTGCAAACAAAATAATATTTTACATATGTGCTATTTGATTTCCTACAGTATACAACCAGTTGCAAGTGGTAAATAATAAATCATTTTCTTTGTCAGCTACAGCAGATGCTGCTCTTTTAAGTCGTGTAGGCACTAGTACACAGAATGGGGTCTCTAGCCCTCAAGAATTTAAATCACACCTCTTGCATTTTATTATTTCCCATAGTTCTGTGGAAGAAGGGTTTTATTTTTTAGTGGTTTTGCATCATTTGTTTTAATGACAATAGAGTTAAGAAAATGGGGGAGGGTAGGAGCTTCCAAGTGGTGGTATCATCTCTCCATCTCCAAACAAAGCAATCGTTTTCTCATAGTGATGATTAATTTTGAATTGCAGGAGTGAGAGTGAAAGCTAAGAATATCAGAGAGTTCTCTCCTTCTCCCCCACACAGTGCAATGCTGGGTGTCCCATCTCTAATCTGTAACCTTTCACTTCTCTCTCTTTCCTGTAGATCTGTTTGCATCTGTTTATGTATTACTTATTTTCGGGAGATTCCCTCTTCTTCCCCTTATTCTTTCAGCACGACAAATACATTGCTTGCAAGAATTCAGATTTTCTATTGCTTCTCTATTCACCCCAGGCATTTTTTTTTTCTTTTTCTTCCTCTTTTCTGCCTTTTTAAGATAAGCTCTTTAAAGCGTTTGCGATAACATCTCCGACCTAAAGATTATTTTTCATTGGGCCTATTGTGAGCAGTCGCCGATTTATTGCGCTGCTGCAGAGCTCAGTTTAGGCTACAAACGTAACAAATGAACAACTTGTCCTCTGCGGACTCACCGCGGGATCCAATTAGTTCCTAAACCTTTTGCACAAGTTTTCTAATTATTTTCAAGAGTTGTGGCCTTTATAGGCTTCCCTAAACTCATCAAGACACCAATTCTTTCAAGGATTAAATGCTTCTTAAAATTACTAGCAGCGTTGCCCCCTCGAAACTAATGGATCGATTCTCAGGGCAACGGAGCTTTCTCAGGGACGCCTGCGCGAGTTACTGGGCTGAGAGAAAAAGATCCCATTTTCAAAACTTTGCACGTAAGCGCATCCATGCAGGCTTGATTTGTCGGTTCTTTTTCTTTGTTTGTTTGTTTGCTTGGTTGTTTTTAGCCCCTAAAAGGTTTAAACATCGGTATGCGAGGCAGGGTGTCACGTGACGCCTGCCATGGACTGCTCCTTCAGCACCTCACCGTGCCCCGCTCCTGCCCCCCCTGCCCGGCCCGAGGGGCCGAGCCCGGAGCCGCCTGCAAAAATTAACCGCTACTCGCACCGAACCTCAAGCCAAAGTGCCCGCAGCACCAAAACTATATCGATACATACAGCCCAGACACTTCCGAAGGAGAGCTCCTTTAAGATTCGCGTTATATTTTATACACGTACATATCATAGCTTGCTAAATTTGGTCAAACGAGCATATGATAGCTAATATGTGTGTGTATATACGCACACATACACATCCTTCGCCAATATATCTCGAGTCATCATAGAGACGAAATTAATTTCTTTTAGGAGAATAAGTCTTTGAATGCATTTCAGAGATTGCAGGAAGAACACGTACCTATACAACAGTGCACCTTGGCTTTTTTCCCAATGTGTGCTTATACGCTTAAATTATATATGTATGTATGTATATATGCATACATACGCAATGTTAAGCATTTTCAGCCTAAGTCAGATTTTAGTAAGACACCCTAGCTCCTACTAACAATTTTTAAGCAGACTTTATAAGAGTTCTGCCCCAAAATGGACATCAAAATAGTGGCCACGGTGTTTGATTAAACACCGTGATCCTTTACATTTGAAAATACTGCAGTTAAAGACAGCATGGGAGGGGGCGGGGGGAGAAAGAAAGGAGCATATGAAAAATGGTGGACTGTGCAATAAGCAGCTCTCTGATCTATCTCACTGTAACTTTAAAGCCTCTGCCACATTAGGGTTAATAAAAGAGACAAAAAAACTATCAAGTATATATGAATTTAGCCTATTTTTTTATTTCTGTGTGTTCATAGTAAACATTTTTGTAAGTGACAAACACGGGCATATGACCACAGTATCACAATCAAGAAATTTTAAGACGACATTAACAATCACTCAAATTTATGCGGCTTTTGCGCAACACAGGTTACATATTTGCAAGGTTTACCTATAAGTACAATAGGTATTAACATTTCACTACATTTAGAAAAAAAATAAAGGTGACCTGTTAGTGACCACATACATCAAAATATACACAACACAAACTGAAGGCAATCATTAATTTTGTCCCCTTCTGATTCATTTGAACGGGCAGTGCTGCAAACTGAAATAATGTTGCTGTTTTTTTTTTTTTTAAATTACTTCGTACACTGAGTGCATTTTCTAAAACCCAATCTTTGGTCTAAAAGTAAACAAACAAAACAAATGAACAAAAAAAAAAAAAAAGCAATTCGGTAAAGAAAAGAATAAAATAATAAATGGCCAAAAGTAGATCTTGGGCATTTTTTCAGTATTAATTCTGCTTAAATACAAATTCTGTTTTAAGTTTTTTATAGTTTTCATAAATTTAGTGGTTTGGTTTTCTATTTTCTTTCACGGTCTGCACCCACCGACATATCCATGATAACTTATAATACTGCAAACATGGAGAATCGGGCGGCTTTTAGTGATAGACTTATCTTATTTGAGTAAAAAATTGCAAAAGCAGTCACTATTTAGATACACATTCTACGATAATTTTGTCTTCCAAACTTCATAGTCTACAATGCAATCTCCCCACATTGCACCTTGCTGACACTCCTCACCTTGGTGGAATAATAAACAACCCTAAAGACTGAACAAACGTACAGAAAATGGGGGACTTAATAAAAAATACCTGGACTTTTTTGTTTTGCTTTTTTTTTCCTTTTAATTATCATTTACAATGCAAATGTGTGTAAAATGTTCACTTACAGTCTGATCCCATGGATGTTAATGTATTAAAGGGTTTGAAGAAGACCCCTGATTTTGATGTGTGAAATAATCAGAAAGTCCTCCGGAAAGTCCCGTTGTAAAACTTGGCAAAGAAGGTCTTAAGGACTCACAGGGGAGAGTGGAGGGCGCCTGTGGCGACGTGGAGGAGGAGGCTGCCCTGGCCGTCATTGAAGTGCTGCTTTGAGAAGTCATTGAAGGGTGAGGAACATGGGGGAAAAAGTAACTCGTCTGTCCTGCTAGGAGATTTACAGAGCAGGGGTTTAGGGAATAGGTGCCGGAGCAGGGAACTGACAAGCCACACGGCACTGAGGCGGCCAGAGCTGCTGCTGTGAGGTGATGAGTGGCATAAGGTATCTCTCCATTGACTAGTCTATCAACACTTAACCCATTAGACGTGGAAAAGGAGTGGTTGTTTCCCAAGGAGTTTTGAGTCAACACTGAGCTGTAGGGCATGGGGTGGCTGGGGTAGGCGGACGTGGTCCCATTGTAACTCAAAGTGCTGCTGGCCCGGGGGTGGTGCAGGGAGAGGAAGGGGGACATAGGCCAGTACAAGGATCCTGCCCTATCCATGAATGTCAGTCCGGTGGAGGTGAGCCGGGCGCCTCGCTTAAAGGCCAGCTTGGCCCGAGAGGTGGTGGAGCGCCGGCGGAGCTTGCCGGTGGTGCCCCCGATGAAGACGTCGTCGCTGGAGGGGTCCAGCATCCAGTAGTTCCCTTTGCCCGGGTCGTCGTAGTGGCGGGGCACCTTGACGAAGCACTTATTGAGCGAGAGGTTGTGCCGAATGGAGTTCTGCCAGCCCTGCTTGTTCTCCCGGTAGTAGGGGAAGTTCTTCATGATGAACTCGTAGATGCCATTGAGCGTGAGGCGCTTCTCGGGGCTCTGCCGGATGGCCATCATGATGAGCGCGTTGTAGCTGAACGGCGGCTTCTCGTACTTGCCGTTCTTCTTCTCCCCCTCCTTCCCGCTCTCCCCGTCCTTGGCCCCCTCCGCCGCCCCCTTCTTCTCCTCGGCCGCTTTCTCCTTCTCCTCCAGCTCCGCCGCCGCCGCCACCGCCGCGCCCGCCTCGCCTTTGCCCGCCAGCATGTCCGCCTTGGCCACCTCCAGGGCGCCGGAGGCGGTGGCGGTGGGGGGCGGCAGGAGGTGCTGCCCCTTCTCCTCGTCCTCCTCCTCGGCTGCGGCCGCTCGCTGGGGCTGCTGCGGCGGCGGGTGGTGGTGGTGGTGGTGGTGATGGTGGTGGTGATGGGGGTGGTGGCTGTTGTGGTGGCTGTGGCTGCTGTGGTTGTTGTCGCTCTGGACGGCTTCGGGAACCAGGCTGTTTATGCTAAAGGAGGATTTCGGCAGCATTTTCACTTCCTTCCTATCTCCCATGTCCAACATCACACACTAGTCTGAGGGGGAAAGTTGCGGCGGCTGAGGGAGCTGCGCGCGGGGCGGCGGCGGAGGCGGCGGCCGAAGCGGTGGCGGTGGCCGAGGCGGCGGCGGCGGCACCACCGGCGGCGGTGGCGGCGGCAGCGCAGTTGGACAGCAGTCTCAAGCGCTGGCAAGTCATGTAGCACGGACAGGAACCGCCGGGAAGGGAAAAAATAATAGTAATAATAATAATCACCGATCAGAGAAAAATCAAACCGAGTCGGAGCGGAGGAAAAAAAAAAAAAAAAAAAAAAAAAAAAAAAAAAAAAAAAAAAAAAAAAAAAAAAAAAAAAAAAAAAAAAAAAAAAAAGCTACTTCATGGTGCCCGGTTCCCCCGGCACGGCAGCGCAGGGGGAGGCAGGAGGGAGCAGCAGCCGCCGCGGGCCGGCGCGGAGCGAGGCAGACGGGCGATACAGCCCGCCCCGGCCGCAATTAATTTCAGAGCTGCCGGCACGCACCGGGGCTGTAAAACATTTTTTGGTTTAACCTTTCCCACCGGCCGCCCAATCAGGGCCGGCGGCGTGCCCGCGCGTCTGCCCGCCCGCCGGCCAATGGCGGCGCGCCGCCCCCCCCCGCCCCCCCCCGCCCGCCCCCCCCCCCCCCGCCGCCCGGCC